TTTATGCATCCAGAGCTGGGGTCCAGGCCAAAAGTGCAGGGGCAGTGAGAGGATTCACCAGAGACAGAGTGGGGAGCAGACCAGGTAGATCAGCAAGCACACTGCTGAGGGGAGCAATGGGTGGGTCAGAAGACATCTGCCATGCTATGTGGTCACCTCCAGAGTGGGGATAGAACTCATGCTGAAGTGGCTTTAGCTTCTTAGTGCTGTGCTTTAACCCACTGCGCCACCAGGGAGGGCCAAGAATGGAGTTTTTGTGAAAATAATGTTTTTGTTGTATGTTGTGACCCCGGTGCCTAGAAAGAACCTAGCATACAGGCGATATGTCAATTACTGCTTGAATAAATGAATGAAAGAATATTAAAGGGGCACCATTAATCAGAGAGCTATAATATTTATGCTTAGTGAAAAAGAAAGCCATAATGAGCCATATAACCAAATAAACTCTGTATAACCACAAGAAAAAAAAATCAGCAAATATTCATCAGAAGCTGATTAAGTAATTCAAATGTAGTGGTTTGCATTTTATTTATGGCACTATGGAATTAGGTAACAATATTAAGAAACAATATCTTAATATTTTAGTTATGTGTTGCATTTTACAGTAGACATATTTCAACTGTTATAGTTTTATTCATTTCATGACAATATTCTCTAAGAGTGTCCTGATTCATTTAGGGATCCTAGAACATTGTTAGTAGTAATTCTAGCCCTGTTTTGTATGATTTGAGTTAGTTCGCTAGTATAACATGGAAAAATAAAAATATGTTGGATACCAAAAATGTAAACCAAGAATATTAAAATTATCTGTCTCAAATAGTTTCAGTCCCTAATAATAGTATATATATAATTTTTAAAGTATAGTCTATTTGTTAGTTATCATAACAGATGATCATAGCAAATTTAAGCTTGGTTATTAATGTTGAGTGGGAGAATCCAGAATGGGAGAGGTTGAACAGGTGAAAGAAATGTTAATTGGTATAGCAGGTTCCCAGTAGATATGAGAGAGCCTGAGCAAGAAAGTAAAAGTAGAGAAATGAGTCTTGGAAAAAATAAGGACAAAGGAGTTGGGTGTTTTTTCTTCCCTAAGTTTTCTAGCTCTTTGAATACATAACATTTTTGGCACTTTCCCATCATGACATTTTATTTTATTTTATATTTTTAAAAAGATTTATTTATTTGTGCATACAGAACTAGGGTGCAGGCCAGAGGTGCAGGGGGCGGTGAGAGGATTCACCAGGGACAGAGTGGGGAGCAGAACAGGCAGATTGACGAAGTACACTGCTGAGGGGAGCAACAGGCGGGTCAGGAGAGGTCTGCCACGCCATGTGGATCACCTCTGGGGTAGATGGGTATCAAATTCATGCTGAAGTGGCTTTAGTTTCTTAGTGCTGTGCTTTAACCTGCTGCCCCACCAGGGAGGGCCCCCATCACAACATTTTATATAGTGGTTTTCTTATTTTACTCTTAGCTTCTCAAATATGACTGGGTTTATTCTTTGCTTTGCAAGTGTTCACTACCTGTATAGAGAAAAAAGAAGAAATGAGTAGTAGAGACTGGACTTGCTATGTAAAATTTTTGGGAGACCTGCATTAGTAGAAGACTCATGAGTTTGAAGCCAAATAGAACATGTAGAACATGTCTCATGACGATAATTTTGCAAGCTACTTCCCCAGGATAACACTTGTCATGTGTTGGATATGCAAGGCATAAGACAGTTTAGTGATGAATCTTATAAATTAAACACTCATTCTGTTTTTTTTTTTTAAACCATTGCAGTGAGACCTGTTTTAGGTTTTTTCTTTTTTTTAAATCTTCTAAAATTACTCTGTTATTCCAAGTTTGGGGTCTAGAAAACATTACATTTCTGAAGATTGTCATATACCTCATTTGTGTGTGTCAGGGTGATCTCAGTTTTATAAGGAATATAAGGAATTTTTCTTTTATTTCTCTGTCTGTTTCTGTAGTTTCTGAGAAACTCTGTCTGACTTTTGTTTTGTTTGTTTGTTTTTTGCTTGCTCTGTCAATGCCTGTTCCAATTCTGTTATTGGTGTATGACTGGATAGAGAATAATTTCTAAGAACTCATTTGTGTTGCAGAAATAAGGAACAGACTTGCACACTCTACACACCTCTCCTAACAAGTAGGCTAGCCGTGGACTTGCATCATTTATATTTTGTGTGTACATGTTTAGTTTTCTATCCATTCTCCCATTCACCCATTATTTATTCCCTACAGAATTTCAAGCATTTTTTTCTTTTGTTTTTCTCATTGAAAAAACATTTAACAGGCAAGCTTGAAACTTATAGAAATACTGATAGATGTTGCCTATTCTAACAACAAAGCAAACCATATTTTTTTCTGTTGCATACTAGAGTGTAATTAAACATTTTAAATTAAATTAGGGTCTGATCTCTAAAACTAATATAATTTATTTATTTGGATTCTGGTTAACTTAAAAAAGCCTACTTAGTACTTTATTTTACATTGTTGCCAGTCTGTTCAGAAGTTCATTGATGTTGGATCATTAGAGATAATGGAGGATTATTTTAATTGATAGATTGAGACATTTAAATTCATTAAACTATTTATGTAAAATGAAATTACATTGTCCCTCTTTTAGTTTTAGGCATTTATAATTGCTTTCAAAATCCAGTTGAGAAACAGTAGTTTTTTCTTTTAATTCCAGTATTTAAGTCAAATCAGACTTTCATTTTAATGTCTTGAGTGTGTGTTTATATATTTATGTTTAGTTACAATATTTTTTCTTTTTTTTATTTTGATTTGTAATCTATTACAATTCAGCAAAAATTGGAATTAAGACTATGGTTAAGTGTTTTTAAAAATCATTATATGACAAGCTGCTGATCCGCAAATCTGGGCAGATATCAACTTCGATTGAATATGTAATCAAAGTTCAGGTTGCTCGTGATAAATTAGCAATATAAAGTTCTGGCTAATCACACTTTAGTTAGTTGTAAGTATCTCTGCCCACTTGCCACTCTGTATAATGGGCTTAATACTGTACATATTTCAGTTTGAATTTAATTTTAGAGACAGACATTTTGTGTATCTACAGTACTGTATACACATGGTAGTAGTGAAGTACTGATTGGCAGGAGAGGTCAGCTATGTAAAGTTTACATTTTTCCTCTTTAAAGTTGTGTGTGTGTGAGTGACTGTGTCCATATTCTGGAATATATTCTGGAAAATCCATGTTAATGATATTATTTGAATCAATCTTCACATTTTATTATTTGTTTCTCTTAGAGGTTATTATTTGATTTTCTGCCTTTTCATAGTACACAAAGCTGTTCTACTTGATTTTGAATCATAGAGAATCAAGTTCAGCCTCAGGGAGAAGTATAACATTGCATGTACTGAAATAGATTTGATATGAGTTTGTATGTAATAAGTAGTTTTCCTCAAATTCAAAGCATATATTTGCTTTGTTTGAGTTCTTTTAAGTGTTACATCTTTTGTATTTTGTAGCATACGGAGTTAGTTATCACTTGTGGTTAGTGGTTAATCCTAATCTACTCTTTCAAAATTTTTCATTACATAGCAAAAGAGAGTTAGTAATTGTGATGTAATTAAGGACTTTAATATTTGCTGACAAATATTATAGGAAAGGGATCTTAAAAATGACAGAAATAGGAAACAGAAAAGACTGACTCCATATTAGCAGAACTCAATTTATAATCCATGACCTTGAATATAGAGGAAGGTGGTCACAAGCCAAATTTAGGCAGTCTTTGAGAAAGTAGAAAAGGCAATAAAAGTGATTCTTCCTGGATTTTCCAGAATGAAATAAAATTTTGACGAATACCATGTTTTATTTATAGTTCAGCAAGAGCCATGCAACTTCTGCAGAATTTTGACATAATAAATTTGCATTATTTTTAGACACTGAAATTTGTTATTGCTTGTTACTTCATCCTTAGAAAACCAATACATGGTTAAAAATCACAAACAATGATTTATGATAGTTTTTTTTTAACCACTTGATTTCTATATATTAAATAATACTTAAGTCTCTTTGGGCAAATTTGCCTACTTTTAGACACTTGCCAGATAGTTAGCAATAAATATATATTACTTTTAATCTACTAATATTAATTTTGAAATGGGCTATTTTCAAAATGAATACAGTTTCCTTAATTATTCGATACTTTTCATTTAAATACAACAAAATAAAATCAAAGTTCTATGGGTCATGAATGAACCTGAAATGTAGTTAATTTTCAGTACAGGCTGTCATAAGACTTTTGCTCACTTATATTCCTTCCTACTTTCCAATTTTATTCTTTTTGCAATTTGTATTATGGTAGTATATATGGAAGGAAATTAAAAAATAAGACCACAGGAGAAAAACATCTGGGAACAGAGAAACAGCATCCCAACCCCAAGAAGCAGTTATTTTTTCTTACACTCAATTTCACTCAGAAATTTTTTTGATATCTAAGGAAAGAGTTGATGGTTCATGTGATTCCCATCTATAGGGTTATGGAAACTCCTTGTGAGAAACAACTTAGTCTGGAAATGAAACAGGGCAGGAATGTATTGTGTTCTTTCTATAAGCAATGTAACAAAAAGGATTCCCAGTTATTGTTTACATAGTAATAAAAACTAACATTTATTGCTTTTATATCAGATACCACTTCAGTGCTTAAGCAATTTTTTAGTTCATTTAATATTCATTTACTATCATCCAACATTCAAAAAATTAAAGCTGTTGGGTTTCATTTCTTAGTAGAAATACGTCGGAGCAGTTAGAGGCATGTTTTGGCTATGGTGGTTCCTGGGTACTGTTGCCTCTGTGGACTCCTTCCAAATAAAATGAAAATTTTGACTATTTTGTTATAAAGAGGAATACAATCCAGGCTTGATTTATTATTATATATTCCCTATTCATTATTCTTCTGGTCTTATAATAAAATAAAAACATGTCATTAGCACTTTGATAAGCATTTTCTTGGAACCCTTGCTCTCATACCCAGTGGTGATGTTAGCTTTGTATTGCCATGGTAAGAGTATCGGCTCTGTGTTAAGACTGTGTAAGAGAGCAAAGCTTGTGGAGTATGGAGAAGGGCGATATGGAGGACAAATTTTGCTTACAGTGATACAAATGGAACTCCTAGATCTGCATAGACTTTACCCAGGTGAGGGCCAGTGACATTTGCCCCAGCAAAGGGAACATTATTAGTGAAGGGCTTAAGTGGAAAAGAGCTTTTTCAGGAACATGTTGAGATAAGTAAATGGAAGTACAAACAAAATTTGTGGCTGACCTAATATTATACTCCTAGTAGTAAGATTAGTAAGATTATTTCTGATCCTATAATGGACTCAGTTTTCAGATAACTGATGTACCTTAGGTAGATATTAAACTTCAATTTGTGGTAGAATTTTTGACCAAGTATTGAAGTTTGATTGTTCTTTATTGTTGATTAAGTTGGGATTCAGAATGCTTTCAATACCATGTGGTTGCTAAAGGTAAAAATACGTATATATAAAATGAAGTTTAAAATGGAAATATTTTAAAATAATGGACATCAACATATTGTATGTAAAGCTTGTATTGCCTTATAGCGATGAAATTTCAGTTCAAAATTCCAAGTATGATTTTCTTAATTTATTAATTTTCTTAATTTATTAAATGTCCTTGAGCACATTTAAGCCTTTTGACAAGACAAGACAAAACAACAAAACAACAACAACAACAACAACAACAAAAACAAAACCATGCCAATAACACACTCGAGAACTTGACCATGGAAAGAGGGGGGAGGGAGTATAGTGAACTACAGTTGGGGGCTGTGGGTTCCTGGAAACGAGTGTGGCATGAGGGCATGCATCTGAGGTGGTGTGAGACTGTGCCTCTGTATCTGATTCAGTGTTGAAAACCAATGTTCTTCAATCAAAAAACAACAAAAATGATAACTCATACTCATAAGTGAAGATAGGGTTACTGTCTTACACTTTGTTGCGTTCTACCACCAGTAATTTTACAAAGTTTTTCTTGGTCATTTTCCAGATACCTACTAGCCTGTTTTTATTTTGGCTTCTTTGTCTTTTCAAAACCTTCAAGTATTTACAGTAGCTTCTTATTTGTAAAATATCCTTAACTTCTAGTCTCTGCCTTCTCGTCCTCTGGTCTTCACTTCTGAGTCTACCAGTGCTTCCAAGTCAGATGAGGTTCCCAAGCAGGCCCACTCTGGTGGGCATGTTCAAGTTCACTCTATCCCCTGGAGCCCAGGTACCCACCATCATTCTCTAGCTTCCAATAAAGCATTTGGAAAGGTTTACGTCATTTAGAAATAATCTTGAATATGTTCAAACTAACACAAAAATCATTCACAAACTTTGGTTTTGAATTTTTATAATAAATTACTTGCACCACACCCCTCAATTGACCTCCATCCCGCATCATTTCATTGGAGAAAACACACATGTGCTCACACGCTCACACAACAACTGCTGTTCTAATCAGTTCTGCCAGATGAATCTTCATTAAACGTAGCTTTGAGCTGATGAGTTCTCAGCTCCAAAGCCTTCAGTGACCTTCTCACTGCAGAATAAACTCTGTAGGAGCCCTGCCAATCCCCCTGCTCTTTTCTTAGGTAGGTGAGAAGGTAGGTGGATATATATAGATAAATGGATTCGGCCCCATGCATTCTTTAACCTTTGTACACTTACTGTATCTGCACTGGACACTGCAGTCTCTTCTACCAATCAAAAGGAGACATGCACCAATATTGTTATATTCTTATTTCTGCTTCTTCAAGATACAGGAACAATTATGTAACATTAGACAACAACTCAGCTACTCCACCAAACTGTCCTGATGATGTCCTTTATTAATTAAGCTGTTTCCACTAAATCTTTTGAAATGGAGATACTTGGCCATAACCCTTCCTCTATTTATCTTCCAGAGTGAAGTCCCAAATTCCCTCTAATAGCATTTGGAAAGACTTTGACACAGAAGTTCTCCTTTGTAAATTAAACAAATAGTTCATAACATCCACCTTGAGAGATTACAGATTTGCTTTATTTCTTATTGAAACTATTAACCTTGTATTTTAGTTTTAAAATTCTTAATCATGTCACATTTTGAAAATATTCTTCACCCAAGTTTCCACTATGTTTTGATGGATTATTATCTCCAGCAGTTCACCCTCATTGTCTTTGAGATAGCCTTCAGGGAATTATGGAAGCTAATATTTCCTGAGGACTTGCTACTTAGGATTAACTCATTTAATCCTGAAAAATAACTCTGTGAACCAGATAGTTTCGCTTACTTGTCATGTAATAAACCAATCACAAGTCCTAGAAATCTGGTTGAAATTAAGGCTTCAAGATAGGAGGGGCACTGTGGCAAGGAGCTAGCACAAGGGGCTGTCGGGGAGGAGATCTTGGAGGTGAGTGTGGTGTGAAGTCATGTATCTGAGTAGGTATAAGTCTGTGCCTCTGAATCACATCATTGTCATAAGCCAATGTTTCTGCAATTAAAAAACAATAATAAAATGACCAACAACCAACTAAAATGCTGAAACTTGGGATAAGGAAGTAAATAAGCATAAATGAAAGTTCAAATTTAACTTAGAAAGAAAATTTTATGAGATTTTGAATCCTATTTTCCAGCTGATTCTGGGAGTTAGGTTGTTTCTGACAGGATTTTATGGTGGATTATAGATGGGAGAAGACTGTGAATTGGAGACTTGTGTTCCTGCTACCATATCACCTACCAAAATGAACCAGTGCGATTCAGTGAACTTCGATAGGCCTTGCAAACTGTAAGCAATCTGTGCTCTTTCTCTTATGCCTCATCCTGGAAGTTGTAATAATAACTTTTTGTTAAGAATGTTAAAAAGAAAATTGCTCTGTCACAATCTCAGTCTTTTGGGCTACCATAATGATTTAACCCTCTAGTAATGCTCATTTAGAAAAGAAACTCAGTTTTCTGTTTAAATATCACCTCCTTAGTTGTTATAATTGTAATATTTCCAATCATTTCCCTTTAGTATGTGATAGCCTCTAATTTCTTGAACAGCTCATGAATAAGTATAAGGCTAAATCTAATTATATAGGTTCTTTCTCTCCCAAACTTTTTCTTATGTGTGTGTCTTCTTTGTGAAGAGTAGGAGGTAATAATGGCTCCCTAATCATTCACTCAAGACCAGCCTTTCTGTTGCACTCTCAAAATTCAGTGACTTAAGGAAATATAATTTTTATGTCAACCAATTAGCATTCATATCCATTTACATAAATCCCATGAACAGCTCTTTCCAAGAACTATTCTTTCCCTTGTTTGTACTTTATGGTTCATGAGTCTTCAAAGCTGTCAAAGTACACTGGGGTCAGGGCAGGTATATATACAGCCTATCATCAGTGGTTTCTTCCCTTTTTTATCTTTATCAAGGTTAGATCTCCCACTTTGAACTTCAGTTGAGTCTAATAATGTTACAGCAGTTACCCTCAGGGTAACATCTCACTCTACTTCTATTCTGATGGTAGGATGACCCAACATACCTTAACAAAGAAGCACTTAACATCTGAAGAAAAAGAACTGGAAGGATTTAGCTAAGATGTATAAGTACTTTGAAACACTGAGGTTACTAAAACTGAAATTTTCATCACATTAGAAATGAATCTTTTAGAGATTTTCAGAAGGGGAGCATAAATAGGATTTATCTGCAGTGAAATGCTAATGATCATGAACAATGTAACATTAATTTTTCTTTTTTTCCTTTAAATTGCAAGTTCTCGTTTCAATAAGGGGTTAATCTTGATTTTCAGAGCTTCTGTGGCTATGACTTTAATATGAATACGCCACAGAGGTGTGTATCTATGTAACACAGTGTGTTATTCCTGCCATATTAATTAGGGTAAGGATATCCCATGGATTCTCTAATGTTAATATTTGTATTTTTGCTCATGTGAGGTTAAATGATTTTTAGAACAGTACAGGGAAGACAAAATGGCTACTATGTGTTGTTCATCTTCTGAGATATTCTCTAAATGTACCAGTCCTCATAATATTTCACTAAAAATAGTTATACTAATGATGTTCATTAATAGAGGAGAAGAGAAACAGATGCAATACTCCATTTCCAATCATAATTCTTCATGTAAATGTTATTGTGAAAAAATAAACTGTTAGAAGAGGAAAAAGTTTGACTATTTAATATGTTGTTTTATTCCACATGGAAATCAAGTAAATAAAACTGGCCAAGTGGGTTTATATTGTTCTACAATATCAGTATCCGCATGTATCTAATTACTCATTTTTGTTTATACTTAAATCTATAAAAAAAAAATTGCCCCTTCCTAATCAGGCAGAGAAATAATTTAATCAGCTATTAAGCAAGACTGAAAAAATTTTGATTTATATACCTTAAGTATAATAGTTAATAAGTAGTTGAATTTGGGCCCTCCCTGGTGGCGCAGCGGGTTAAAGCACAGCACTAAGAAGCTAAAACCACTTCTGCATGAGTTCCATCCCTGCCCCGGAGGTGATCCATGTGGCAAGGCAGACCTCTCCTGACCTGCCCGCTGCTCCCCTCAGCAGTGTACTTTATCGATCTGCTTGTTCTGCTCTCCACTCTGTCTTCTGGTGAATCTTCTCACCTCCCCTGCACCTAGTTCTGTATGAATAAATAAATCTTAAAAAAAAAAAAAAGGTGAATTATCTTTCTGCCTTTTTGGTGTAAGTTCAGTACTAATGCTTTTACAGTTTTTATTGAAATGTGTGCCTGTACCCTTTTTTCTTCTTCCTTTGGGTATCTGTGGAGTAAACATGAAAAGGTACTTTCTGGTAAAAGGTTACATGCTTGCACACTGTCTCTGGCTCTGCATCACTTTCCCACATCTAGAATGAACTGGAAGGATGTCTCCTTCTGAGGACTCTGCACACAGAGCTTTGTGTTCATTTTTTCTTTTATTTACTTTATGTAAATTGATCTTCATTCCATCTGTTACCCTACCATTTAGTTTCTTTACAATTCCCCTCTCCTACGTTATGTTATCTCCTTATTTTGGTGTAAGTCTTGGTGTAAAGTCAGGGTTAGAAAAAGTGTGTTTGGCTTCAGTGCACGTCTCTGTGTAAGCCAGCCTGATCACCTTCACGATTGGGTATTTTAGTGGTCTTGCAATCCCCACACCTCCATAAGCATGTCCAGGTGACTAAGCATCTTATTACCTTTCTGAGGCTCTAGTCCTATCTAAATTTCTGGTTTATTTTTTATTTGCTGTTTTTTGCAGTCTTTTATCAATTCAGTTTTCCTCTCAGAGCACCTTGAAATGCCGTTCTCTTTGTAAATTTCTGCTTCCCAAATATTTTATTCACCTTCCAGCATTTCAGTCCCAAAGTTCATTTTGTAAAATATTGGTATGTAGTCATTAAACTATGTTTACTTTTTTTTTATACCCCTATTCCTTGAAATACCCATTTATTCCTATTATTACCGAGGCAAAAGTATTAAATGAGATCCATGGCTGTATAATGCATATTTGGCTGTATGGGTTACTTTTCCCCCTTCAATTCAATTTGTGCTAATGGAAGTACTTGTCTTGCTCAAGCAAGCCATAGGAAAGCCGAAAGTGATTCATTGTTAGTGACTCCCTATTAGTGTCTTTGGAGTGGTGTGCGTTGTTCCATTGGGTTCTATATGTGAGAGAGACAGACATTTTACTTTTCAAAATTCAGATTCAGCTGAGGCTTTATACAAGATTTACACATAAAGCTACCAGAAGGAGTACATAGTTGTAGTGTATGTTTTTAAAAAGAGACAAGTTGTTGATAGAGTAGCTCTGGTTGGTTCTAGAGTTCTTTTTTTATGTAGATTTGGTGCTGGCAAAGAAGCAGTCACAAAGCATCTATCTGTCCTCCAGGAGGATGAAGTGCTGTAAGTACCCTGAGGAAATAAAATGTGTAGATTAAGGTAATGCTCAGAATGGGGAAGTGTTTCTTTGTGATTTTTGTCACTAGGAATTTTCCCGGATGTTAGTAGCACCTGCTGCTTTGACTAAACTAGCCATGTAGCTTTCCTGGTAATAGGAGATAGATGTCTGTTACTCTCTAAACTGCAAGGGAATAAAGGAAACACCTGTAATTTGGAAGATTTGGAGTTAGGTGAGGGAAAGAGCGGCTTTATGTTGATTGTCTACAAAAAGAATCTTATAATAGTGGTTCTTATTTCTATGCAGAGTAATTCCTACATTTTCTCTTTTTTATTCTAGGTGAAGGAACAGAATATGGAAATGGGTAGAAAATTTTAGAGGGGAGTGCTCTTAGGGTGAGAATTTGTTTTTCAGATCTCAGTTGTCTCATTGTAATTTCTAAAGATCTGCAAATGCGATCTGTAAGAAAACCAATGTCTGATTATTCTAACTGCAAGTTGGAAAATCACAGTTAATACCATTGAAGAGTTCTAATTTTTTATACTGCAAATTTCCTCCATATGGAGGTTTTTCTCTTAGATTCTAATTTTTACTGTGAGCTACAATATCATTTTTGTCAATGTGAATGTCTTCTTGTACCAAATTTTAGCATATTACAGTTCTTGGAATCATAGAACTTTTCCTGCTATGTATTCAGTTTTCATCAGTTTGTATAAGAGGGAACATCTCTGCAGGAATAGATGGTAAAAATAAAAGAAGAGTAAATATTTTTGCACTAAAAGGTATTGGCAAAATAAGATTGAGATAGAATAAATCTGAACTTAAAAATTAAATCCCTGTGATTGATATAGAAAAGTAACTAAAAAAGTAGACTGAACGCCTTTGTGGTTCTGTGGAGGTAGAACTTACTGACAACAGGCACCTTGTTCTTTATAGCAACATTAAATAGGTATTCAACAGGTAGTTATTGAGTAAAATCATGAGTGAATGAGCCAAGGAGCATCAGAAAGTATTTGTTACATCAGGATCTATAATAGAAAGTGATTAAGAATCTCATATTTTTTTTGTAACAGCAAAGTAAAATGAATTTATAAGCATTTTATTGAAATTTCAGATCTAAACACTCTGAAATATGGAAATTTGTAGTAAGTCCTCACTATTATCACTCAAATGTGTAAAATATCACTTGATATCTTTTTAAAATTACATTTCTTGTTAATATGAATGTAAAATAACTTAAAAGTTTTTTTACATCATTTCTTTTTCTATGGTCTTGCATTTCATGTAAAAATTGGTCTTTTCTGGTTTGTTTGTTTTGGGAACCTGTCATCAGATTAGAGCTGATGATAAAGATGTATTAACTTATGTAAAATTATTTCTCACTCTTTTTATAATTGTGTTTATTTTTAGGAATTATGAGTTATGTTAATAGATGAACTGCTTGAGGACTAAGATAATTTTGTTCAGTGACTTAAATGTCTCTTACCACTTAACATTAACACACAACAAATGTTGGACTAAAAAACAGATGTGTTGATGGATACTATTCAACTTTTCAAAGGTCAAAGTGAATCTCAGGTCTAATAGTTCAAATGAACAGGTGTGATGGCAGGTTGCAGTTCTTCTGAGTTATGATACATGCTTTCTAGGACTTAGGGGTCATGAGAAGATAAAACCAAGTGTTTCATATCAACAATGTATCACAGAAACAACTACAGTACCTAACTTCCATAAACCTTGCTTGACTTATAATGCAATTCAGTTATTAAGTGAAGATAACTGTTTCTGTTTTTAACTGTTCTGTTTCTACAAACTAACTTCAACCCCTCTGGGTTCTCTGTTATGATGGATGATAGTGTTCCATTCTGTTTAAGTTACTGTTTGGTAAAACTTCCCAGAACACTGTAAGATTTTAGCAATAGCTTCCAGTTAGCTCTTCATCTGTTCTCAAGTGACCTGGCAATCTTACCCTTCTCTGTGAAGTGGGCTTTGTATGGTCTCCCATTGCCTCAGCCAATTAAGACCTTAAAATTAGGCTTTGAGGAACCCTGCTCATGCTTCCAGGAACATAATAACACCACTTTTCATTGAAGGAGATGAGAAGTGTTTAAGTTTGGCCAGTGAACAAAGCAAGGATAAAAACAAGTGCTAAAATCACAATTAGCCCTGAATATTTTAATGCAAAAAGGGTATCAGTTTTTGGACAGTATTCCACCATTATGCTTGATTTCCCTCCATAATTTATGGTTCAGAGTTTTTCACTTCTTATAGAGATAAATAAGCTATATCTTAAGGCATTTTGAAAAGTGCTACACCCTTATTTTTGTGGCAAATAGTTTTGCTACCCTAGACTTAGTTTGGATTGAATCATTTCTATTGCCTCCATCCCAAATAAGGTTCTACACTGTAAATTCTTCAAAAGATTTTTCTCTGATTTATGTGGGAAAGATGAGCAGGTTTGACATTGTGCTGTGACACTTACATGGATTTCATATATCCTTATAAATAATCATTATTATCAAAGATCGAATGCCTTAATTTCTGTTTCTGATAGTTTCACTTGTTTCTCCTTTAAAGATTCTGGCATTTTGTATTGAATAGTCACTGTCCTTTGCTCATCACATCATTCTAGTGATTAACTCAAATGAAGAGTGACCTCTGCATTGGCAAATGGTAGAAGTGTTCTCTCTCCCTCTTTAAGAAAGTCAGGATTAGTATTCTTGCTGTAATAACAAACATATTTGTAAATGGGAAACATTCTTAAAGCAGTACTTTGCTTATATATGAAAATTTTGTTTTACAACTATTAAATCCTTCAAGTAACTTAATTTTTTCTTAGACTGAGAATGTAAAAATATTACTGACACACACACCTCATCTATTTAAGTATATGATATATTTATGTATTAGCCTCCTGCTGATTTCACACTTAGAATTGAGTTTCTGAATATTTACATCTGGAATCAGCCCAGTATTCAGGACCCAGCATCAGGAAATAATGATCATGTCTGTGTTGTTATCTATAGTGGTGATTTTGCCCATGGCGTGACATAATGGATGTTTCTCAGTAAAGGCATCAGGAATATTTTGAAGTATACTGTTCTTTATGGTACAGGATGCTTTCTCACCTTGAAGGGAAGTTGGTTATCCTGTCTTCAAGCCCTGGAAACTATTAAGCCTATCCATCCTCTGAAACAAGAACTCCTTCCCCAGCCCCTTCATTCTTTTAGAAAATTATTCAATCCTTTTTTTCACAGTACCAAAAGCATTTTATTGTACTAACTTTTTTTTATACCCTTTATGTCTTATAAACCAGATGAGAACATAGATCTGTTTTAAATATATTGATGTTCCATCACTTATCATGGTGTGTTATAGAAATACGTTCAATTGATTACATGGTTATTTTTTCTGGGGAAACACAATACTAACTTCAACATTTACATAATTATTTCAATTTGGCATTTTCCTCAGTTATTAAGCAATATGGTGAAATCATCTAACCACAGACATCATATCATGAACTTTGTTTATCTACCAATTTATTTATACCTATGTTATTTATATCCTGACTTGTTCTCTAACAGATTTACAGAGTTGATTTCATTAAAACTGTACAACATCACAGAGTGGAGCTGTCCAAAAGAAATGAGATACAGATGTGAGCTATTCATGTAATTCTCAGTGATATTGTAGTTATTTTAGGAAAGGTTTAAGCACTGCAAGTTAATTTACTAATATATTTTAAGTAATGCATTCTATCCTAAATACTATCTTTTCAACATATAATCAGTATAGATGCTCATAAGATAGTTTACCTTTATTTTCTATGTCAAGTTTTTGAAATCTGGTGTACATTTTACATATACATCACATCTCAATTCTGTCTGTCGACATGTGGTTCATGCTAATGCATTGGAGAGCACAGCCTAGAAGACCTTCTCTGTTGACCTTTGTTTTATATTGCCGTATCTTTGAGGAGAGATTCATCCGTAGTAGGATTGCTAGGATTGTTGAGAACTCTTTAGAAGATATAAGATGATAATTGTAAATGGAAACTATTATTACTTTTATTTGGAAAAACATATATATCGCAAAAATGATTTAAGGAAAAATTAAAAAATAAAAAGTGCTATCTAGAGTACCAAGGTAGAGGAAGGGAAGTTAAAGACATATAGAAATTACTGTATAAGTTACAGCCTTTGGAATTTCTACTTTCTATGTCTGCCTAAAAACGCCACCATAGAGAACAGCACGGTTATTCATGTTACTGGGTAATAAAGATAGCTTTGCAAAGAAGATGATTTTAAGGGCATTTATTTACCTTATTTACCTAGATTTTTCTGTGTTTGCTTTAGTTTACAGGAATAAATATGAATAGTTATTAAATACAGAGTTCTTTCTTTGGCCTACATAGGCTATTTATATTGCCTTTGTTTAGTGTAGAGCTTAGTAAATGTTTTGCTGAGGTCAAGGTTATTTTCCATTCAGACTATGGAGTATAAATTGCTTAGGGAGTTTCAACTGCGTAGGCCAACTTGTTTGGTGCTAGCTTTTTATTTTTTAAAATTTCGCACCTTCTAATGAATTTGGGCTTTTATTAGCTATATGGAAAGTACATGAAAAAGAACCTTATGTTTTCTGAGTATCTGCTACATGCCAAACCCTGTGTTAGACATGTTACATAATTTCTCAGATACTCCTTCATTCATGGAGAATTTTCTATTTCTGACTTATTAATGAGGAACTTAAAACTCATGGAGATGACATGGACAGTAATACTTCAGAAGAGCCTTCTTTGCAAGCATACAGCTTGACTGGGAGTGCAGGATATGTCTGTATGTCTCATTCACATTGAACTGTGGCCCATCCCGATTATTCACCCTGCAGCCTGAAATAATTATTTTGTAACATAAATTATATAATCTTACTACCCTGCCAGATAGTACAAGGGCCTGTGCATTTAGGGGAAAAAAATATATGTTTTTGTTTTTTAGCATGACTTGCAACATCCCTCTCAGTTTAGTTATTCCCCTTTCAACCTGTCATTAAGGTCTAGACACGTTCTATACACTGGCTTTGTTTTGCCTCTATTACATGTATCTTAATTTTCATACCTGTTGTCTACTTTTCGTCTCCTCTTCTTTCTCTTCCTCCACTTCATAGCCATAAGCTTTTGCCTGCTCTTGTTCTTCGTCTTAGCTTCAATGTTATTTCTTCAGAGAGCACTTGCTCCATCATCCACTCTGAGAAGGCCCCTCCCTTATTTATAGCATTGAAACCTTTTATGTATTTCAGAGCACATAAAGCTATTATTTTACCTGCATGTTTGCTCATGTATCTATTTCTGTACTGTCTACTCTCTGAC